AGTCAAGACGACCGAAAGTGGCATCAGGCACAGTGATTATCAAACCTGATCGGCCTGTCTACGCGTGCCTCACACAGCCTGGCAGTCAGCTTACTGCGTCCGTATTGGTGGATTCCATACGTGGAGTAAAACTGGGCTAGTAAATCGACCCAGGCGTGAGTAACTTCACGGCGCACGGTGATCCTCGTAGCTCAAATGGTAGAGCGTTGGCCGCGCAGAAACCTTCCCTGCTGTGTGGTTTCGAATCCCATCGAGGCGGCGAGTTTTTCGCACTTGGATCAATCGAATTATTGAAGTCTGCCAAGCCTCATCACACCAACGGAACCTTTCCTGCCTCTGTCAATTTATCGTTGTTTGCCTTGATAATGCCGATTGTGTTACTGTGCTGTGTTGACAATAATGTCTTCTCCGCCTTTCCAACAGTCCTCCTCCGATGCAGAGCACGGTCTCGGTGTCTACTACGGAGGTCTGTTGCTCTACCTCGGACGGCTTCGTCTCCAGCGTTTCTCTTGGCCGCGCATCATCAAGCTCTCCTATCGCAAACGTAAATTCATCGTGATCGTGCGATCCCTCGAGGAGACCCAGGCTGAACGTACCTACGAGTTTCGTTGCGCCACGGAATTGGCTGCAAAACGTCTATGGACCCTGTGTGTCGAGCATCATAACTTCTTCCGGTGAGCTTTCCTCTCCCCTTTTGAACCCTTTCGCAGTTTTATTGATAGCATGTTGCCTTTCAGTTATTTTTTTCTACAAAAAGGCGTTATCGACTGCGGTAAGCCTCAGGATTAGGAAGTCTGAATTTGAGGGAGGGTACATTTTCCCGTCTGCAAACCCTGACCCTCCAAGCATACACCCAACCCTGATCTCCCGGGAATTTAGCGCTTGGTGTTTTTCGTTTGGGCCAGGGTCCCTATTCCGGTGTCCTGCCTCGACTGCTGCCTCCTGCAGACCCCAACCTCTTCGCTGCGAAAGGTCTAGGTCTAACTAGGCAACACGTCTCTCACGCTCATCCAGAGTGTTGTCCACAAATCTCAACTGACTGCCTTTTCGGTAGTTCGGTAGTCCCGCAAAATCTGGTGTGCATTGCATCTTTGCGTGCTCATAGCCCTTGTCCTTGAAATGAGGTCGATCTGATCTCCAGGTTCTTGT